ATATGTGTATTTATCCATATATGTACATATGTGTTTATAGATATCTACATGTGTGCCTACATGCCTATATGTATATGCTTATAGATATCTATGTATATTGTATGTCTATATATTTTTATGTGTACATATGTATGTTTATAGATATCTATGTATATCTATGTATCTGTGTTTATATATGTATCTATATATGTGTATATATGCATACGTGTGTGTGTGTGTGTGTCTCCACGCTTAATTGTACCCTTCTTTAGGGTAGAGGGAGGAGGGAAAAATAAAGTAAAAAGTGCACAGCAGAGGACAAAAGAAATCCAAGCAAAGAAAAGCTGGGCAGTTCAAAAAACAATCTGTAGCATTTACTATATAGGTTTTCTTGAAATGGAAATCTATTGTTTTCTATTGAATCCTCTCCTATGGTCGGCTGTGTACATGGCAATTTTTTTTTCTTTTCTCATTTGGTATTTAAGTGTAAAATTAAAAAATTTACCAAAGAAAAAAAGAAACAGGAAGAAATAAAAAGAAAGAAAAGCTATACATCATTTTTTTTTTCTGGAATGAACAGGAAGAGCCTGTCTCAACTTCTCACACCCTCTAAGAGGCAGAAACTTTGGGATTTCCAACAGTGGCCCAACAGGAACATAGTGATTTCAAAATCCACTCCTTCTCCTGAATCCTGCTTGTCTGTGTACGCCTTACCTACCCGCAGCAGAACGTAAGCTTCTAGAAGGCAGGCACTGGCATTTTCTTAGCTCTGGCTCCTTGGACGCTGAGCCCAGGGCCCTGCCCACAGGAGGCACCTAGAACTTCATTCAATTCAATCCACATAGTCCTGCAATCAAGGGAAACCCGTTGAAGCTCAGAACCATAAGGTCCCCCAGAAATCACCTGGGTTGGGGTTGTTCACCTTTATTGTGGCAGGGACCCCTCCGGCAGTCAGCCTGGGGAAGCCTGCCGACCCCTTCTCAGAATTGTGTCTCTAAATGCATCAAATAAAATACATAGGATGATAAAGGAAACCAATCCTATGAGATCCAGGACCCCAGGCTCTAAGCCCCCACCCCAATCCCTTCTGCCACGCCAACACCAATCAATGAGGATCATTCCTCACTGATGTGAAAACAGAGAAATTCCCAACTTAAGGAGAAGAAATCAGCACTGAAAACGGCATCTGGCGCCAAAGAAAGACGCACTCACGGCTGCTCCTCTCCACTCGGACGGTCTTCAAGCCCGGGCTCTTGCCTTTGGAACGGATGAGCAGCGTGTCTTGGAGCCCTGGAAGAGAAGCAGATTCCTCTGGCTCTCTGCAGCGCCATGAGCCCAGCCGGGAAGCTGGGGGAAGGGGCGGGACCCCTTTGTGCTGACCCCGGTCACAAATGAACCACCCTGTCCCTGAGCCCCCACCCTTTCCAGATCGATCTGAGGCTGCCCTGTCAAGGTCCCAACAAGTCAGAGGTCAAACAGTGGAGGAGAGTATGGCAAGGACTTGTACAACGCCATACTGCCAACTTATGGCAGAGCCAGGATTTGAATCCAGGTTCTCTGCTTTTAAGAGTCAGTGCTTACATCATTCGGCCTTCTCGAAAAAGTATCTGAGGAGGAGGGAGGTCAGAGCTGGGAGAGCCTTAGAACATGGGATGTCAGAGCTGGGAGGGTCTTAGAACATGGGATGTCAGGGCTGGGAGGGTCTTAGAACATGGGATGTCAGCTGGGAGGGGTCTTAGAACATGAGATGTCAGAGCTGGGAGGGTCTTAGAACATGGGATGTCAGCTGGGAG